CCCCAAAACCCCAAAACCCCAAAACCCCAAAACCCCTAAATCAAGAATTATGGAAAAATAGAATGAAGTACTTTTTTATTAATAGTATTGTTGTTGTTAATAGTGAAATTATAAATTCTCTGAAATGTCTTAAAATTTTGCAATAAGCAATATAATGCACGCTTCAATTTATTAGACAAATACCTCTCCCTCAAAGCAGCTTTATTCCTTCTCAAAAGCACCAAGATTTATGAATCCTAAGACTTCCTTGTAAAGATTTAATGAAATTTTGTTAATAATCAATATAGCTGTACAGAGCCGTTTTATATTAAAAGTGATGCCTTTTCAAGACGCTCGATCAGTATCGGAAATGCTAAGAGAGCGAAAAATTTGATACCTCCCATTGAGAGTCCTTCTCCTTCTCAATATAATATTCAATCGACCTTTGATAATATAAAGCAAAGGGGAGTATCATTTGGGTACAGTAGAGATCGACTTAAAAACTTTTTACGTGAAAATCCAATGTAAGATTTCTAATGCCCGGGACCTTAGAGTTATGAAATTAAAGAGTCATAAGTAAGGCCTGGTTCGATATAATATACGATGAGAGCCAAAACACCTAAAGACTACTCTTTGAATAATATTAATAAGTGTTAGCCTGGACCAGCCGATTATGAGAGCTATAGTACTCTTGATATGTCTAGAAATAAGGGAATACTGATGAATTCTAGGTTTTAAGGAGCGACTGGAGGGGTAATTTCAAGATCTGGCAGAAGAGTCGACAAAGATAGTTTCATGATGAATGGTTGGATTGATAACCCAGGACCAGGAAACTATGATAATAATTTGGAATTTAATAAAAAAGGGAGCTATATCTTCTGCAAGTGGAAAAATAGCGGAGCTCCTAAATTTGATAGAGCCTCAAGAAATATTAATCTGGACAAATCTGTCACAAGGAAAAGTAAATTTTAAGTTGATTTACGTATTCTATAGTAACACCAGGACCAGGGGCATATAGAGCCACAACAGAATTCGGCTTTGTTGAAAACACAGCTGAATCAAATCCATATCAGACAATACAGTCTAGACATTCTGTTTAGAGAAACTAAATATCAACTATCTAATGAAACTGTTAATTTGATTGTTTATGAACAAGATTTAATTTCATAATCTACTCTATCTTCAAATCTTAAATCTATGGGGTTTTGGGGTTTTGGGGTTTTGGGGTTTTGGGG